CCGGGTAAGGGTACGTTTAGGACCGATGATGGTTAGCCAAGCATCCATGAAAGGCGCTCCCCCTACGATGGATCGCGCTACCTGCCCGCCGACTTCACCAAACTATCCGTCGACCTCACTGTCTTCCTGTGGATATCACATCGTATCTTCGGCCCCGCTTCCTATCCATCCACCGATCTCACTACTTGTCGGCTTCAGCATCTTAGAGCGTGTTTCTTTATTGCTTGGGGCATAATGGGCATTATAGCCCCCGGCCTCCCCCCCCCCTTATAACGTAACGCCCCTCCCCCCCAGTGCGCTCTGGGCACTGCCGCCGTGCGCACGGCGGGGGGGAGGCGTTACATTACACCCCCCCCCCTGGCCCCTGCCCCCCCCTGTAATCCCCATTATCGCCGAAAATGATGAAACGCTCTTACCTATCGATCTCGGCATCTGAATTCAAATCCACAGTGAGCCCTGGCGTGTTGGCAGGGGCTAACCTAGCCGCCATGGAGCCCCAAGAGGGCCCCGAGACGGCTCAAGATCCTAGATGCGTTCAAGCGGACCCCAAGAGGGCCCAGGATTGCCCAACACGCTTTCAAAGCGGTATACAAGTGGCCCCAGGAGTACCCCAAGAGGACCCCAAGAGGGCCTCAAGATACCCAAACCATGGATTTTCGTTTTTAATGTCTGAATGATGTCGACGTGCTCTCGCTGTCGACGCCCTCAGGACGACCCAAAAGGCCGCCACGATCGCACCGAGACGGCCCAAGAGGCCTCGAAGAGATCCCCAAGGCTTATGATGTTCCAAACTGCTTCAGCTTTGACTGCCAGAAAGAACTTCGCGCACTAGAAAGTGCCGAAACTCTAGGGTTTTCACGTGTCGGGCCCTGGGAGACACTCGTTCGACACTGTTTCGATTCTCTTTCGACACTCTTTCGACACTTTTCCGGGTGCTTGAAATTATGTCTGGGATGTGGTCCTTAAGCACGTTGGGAGCAACATAACCCATGGCGGCAAAACAAACCCGCAAGAGGCCCTCAAGAAACCCCAAGACCCAAGACGGCCCATGAGGGGCGCAGCCGAGCCCCAAGACGACCCCATGAGCCCAAAGAGGGATCCACAGAGGCCCGAATACGGTTCCGGAGGGCCCCGAGTCTGCAAAAGAGGGCCCCAATACGGCCCCAAATGGCTTCAAGACGTCACAAGCTTCTCCCCCTCCTCCCCCCCATACTCCTCATCATCATCCTACTCCTCCCTCCCCATCCTCATCCTACTCCTTATCCTACTTCCCCACCCCCCTACTCCCCCCTCCCCACCCCCCTCCTACTCCTCATCCTGCTCCTCCCACGACTTCCCGATTTGCTGCCCATCCCCCAAGACGCTCCAAGAGGACCATCTGTATTCGTAATCATGTTGCTATGTGTCGTGATCGTGCGAAGTCTGCATTTGCCAAAAACAGTGCATCTAAGCGTTCCTTGCGCTTCGACCGCTCCCTCATCGCATGTGCGAGAAATGTTGCATGCACTTGGTCGCAGCAATTTGTAAGTTTGTCTCCCATTACCGCGCTGAGTTGCTCGGACTCTGCATGACTATTGGCTCAAGCATTCACAGGGTGGCCGCACTGTCGGATCGCCGAGCCGGGCTCCAGTGCAGGGAGTAGCTCTGCCGTAGCCTCTGGTAACTGCAGGCCGGTGCTGAGCGGGATGGGGGGGTCGAGGCAGGAGCCAGACTGCGACTCAGAGCGAAACTCGAGCATCGTAGTGTCGTTGCCAGGCGCCAGGAGGAGGATCAGGAGGAGGGGTATGGACGAGGAGGGGAGGCAGCAGGAAGCAGGGAGCAAGCAGGTGGGAAGTAAACGAAGGGATGAAAGGAGAGGGAGGATGCAGGATTGGAGAGGATGACCAGGAGGAAGAGGTGGGGGAGAAGGAGGAGGAGAAGGGAGCAGGAGGGAGGATGCAGGAGGTGGAGGAGGAGGTCGATGGGAGAGAGAGAGAGAGAGAGAGAGAGAGAGAACGACAAACATGTCATATCGAGACTGTGACTAGGAGCGAGACAGAGAGGAGGAGCAGGACGAGGAAGAGGAAGAGGATAGGGATCTTGTGGTGGTAGCGGAGGAGGGGGCGCAGGCCGACTTGTGGAGCAAATGGCAGAGTAGAGAGTTCTCCGTCAAATGGTTATTGTTATTGTATCTTACTTGGCTGAGGATCATCGAGTTTGATGCATCATTCTGAGGATCATCGACATTGATGCAGTCCAGGTCGTGGCCGCCAACGTTGAGAAACGGAATCTGGTTGGGGAGCGTGGGTCGTTGTGCCGTGGTAACATCCCCCGTACCTCGTGTGGCTGAGGTGGCTTCCGAGTGCCACCCGTGTGAGGAAGCGCACTCACGCTCGCAAAGACACCCGCAAAGGGACACCGTCTCCCTCGGGCGGCGGGCTGGCGGCACCGCCGCGAAGCGCCGAGCCGGGACACGCTCAGGCGCGGCAGTCGCATGGAGACCGGCCGCGCATGGGCAAGGGGCATCGTGGCCGCAGAGACGGGGGTCAGCCAGAGCGCCCGATCTTGCAGGATCCTGCAGGGCCAGGGTCGCATTGACCCGGGTTTGGGTGCAGGATCCTGCAGGATCCTTCGCAGTGACCCGGGTTTGGGAGCAGGATCTTGCAGGGTTCTGCAAGGCCTGACTCCCCCTCTTGTCCGCCGCTTCAAAGGAGGAAAAGGTAATTGCCCACACCCCTACCCTTCGCCCCTTCTCCTCCCTTTCGGCCTCCTGGGAGGCCCTCGTCGTCACCGCTGGATTCGCCTCGAAATCTTGTTCCGAACGCACCCTGGGAGAGGTCCGGGGAGTAGCTGGTTTTCCCACAGGAGCTGGGGAGCCGGGGGAAGCAAGGGCACCCTCAGGGGCGCGAAGTTATTCGCGCTTCGCAGTTCGGCTGCGATTCCTCCTCATCCTCCTCTTCTCCCTCGGAGGGCGGCGCGAGAGCGCGAAGCTATTCGCACTTCGCGCTCCGCTCAGCGCGAAGCGCGACGTTGGGAGCGAGGGGAAGAGGGAACGAAGCCGCGAAGCCGCCGCTGTCCGCCCGGGCGTCGCTGGCTACGGCCACCGGTGGCCCGAGGGGCGCGCACTCAGGGGGGCGAGGCGGCGCGGCGGCCCCTGCAGGCTTGGCGCCGAAGAGGTCGCAGCTGAGCGGCCGGGCCAGCTGAGGAGGAGGAGGAGGAGGAGGAGGAGGAGGAGGAGGAGGAGGAGGAGGAGGAGGGGAAGGAGGAGGAGGAGGAGGAGGAGGAGGAGGAGGAGGAGGAGGCTGAGCGCGTTGCTCCACGACCGCGGCGGGGCATCGGCAGAGCTGCGCCGCTTCAGGGGGGCCCACGGCCGCGCCCCCGCGGAGGCGTGCAGGTGCGCTCGGAGGCCTGAGCTGCCCATCGCCGCCACGCCAGGCCCCCCCCTCCTCCCCTCCCCTCCTCCCCTCCTCCTCCTCCTCCTCCTCCTCCTCCTCCCTCCTCCTCCTCCTCCTCCTCCTCCTCCTCCTCCTCCTCCTCCTCCTCCTCCTCCTCCTCCTCCTCCTCCTTCCTGCTCCCTCCTCCCCCTCCTCCCTCCTCCTTCCTCCCTCCTCCCTCCTCCACCTCCTCCTCCATCGCCTGCTCCTCCTCCCCCTCCTCCTCCTCCTCCTCCTCCTCCTCCCCCTCCTCCACCTCCTCCTCCTCCTCCTCGGGTCGAATACGGCCCCGGGGGAAACCGTGCACGCTACCCGACCGCGTACTTCCCGCACGTCTTATTCCCTTGCTGCAGATCGTTCGCCTTTCGTTGCCCGCAGCGTCGCGGTAGATGTTCGTCCTCGTCGCCTCGGGGACCCCGGGCCCCACATCCCGCGCGATGTCCGTGTCAGCGCGATGTGCGCTTCTTTCGGTCACCGAAGGTCTCGCACAATGCCACCGGCGGCAAGCAAGACATAGTGCTGGTCCTGGGGCTCTCCGCTGTGGCCCCCCGACGCACCCCCCCCACACACGCCAGGGTGGTCATTGCCAGCATAGGTATGCCAGCATAGGTATTGATGGACCTGGCAGACTCGTTTCGCTCGCGGAGCTCACAGCGCTTGGGAGTCGATCTGGGAGCTGTTCTCGCTGTGATTCCCATCGGGTTCCCCCCTTCTTCTCCCAAAATGCGCTCGAAAAGAGATGCCCCCCACGCCACCCTGGACCGGGCTCTTTGCCAGCGTGGGTATGGGTAGACATGGAAGCACATACGTTGGGCAGAGGCAACACAGACATCTCTGCATCATGCGTGCGCATGTTATCCGCATGCCTCTTGCGTGCGATACTTTGCCCGACGCACGCATCTTTGCTGTGGTCGCTGTAAGAAAATCTACTCGAATGACGCGGGCGCGTGGGCCCCTGAATAGTGGACGCAATGGCAAGCAACAGCGAGAATGATGGAGCACGTGCAAGGAGGTGGTAGCAAGGGGAGCCAGGGCTCGTCGGGGCTGACTAGTGCCCGGGGCGAACCAGCACAAATTCCAACGGCAATGGCCAGCGGAGCTGGTCAAGGCTGGTCGGGGACAGGCGAACTCATGGAAATCCCAACGGCAGTCTATAGGGCTGGGTGGGGCCGGGGCGAACCTGCGAACATCTCAACGGCATTTAGCAGCAGGGCATGTCATGGCAATTAGGCACCCCGTTGGCACCAGGAAGCGGGGCTTGGGGGGCAGGACGAATCAATGGGGAACCCGCCAGCACTGGACAGCGGGACTGGTCGAGGCTTTGTCCGAAACAGCGAAAATGCCGCGTGCATTAGGGAGTTGATCTGCACACAGTCAGCACCCTTCGGTGAAAGCATTGTCTGGAGGAAAGATCGGCGCTAGCGCGCAAGGAATATCCAGCAAAGCCCAGAGGGGCCAAGCTGAGAAGCGCGGATCAGTCTGTTCTGTAGGAGTTGTACCTGTCAGCTCTATGATGCGCGACCAATGGTCTTACATGAGGGGCGTTGAAGAGGAAGCGAGGTTGGTGCAACGGAACCCCAGGGTGATATGTCTTTGACCATCAAGACGAACCTTGGAGTATTGAAGGTGGAGTTATTCTGTTCGCAAGTGCCGAAGGATGGGGCTGGGGCCTGGGGAAGGATAGAGAGGGAGTTCGGGAGAATGTGCGTCGAAGAAGGGCCATTCGAAGGTGCGGGTGGTGAATCATCGAGTTCCATGGATGCAGTAGGTAGCAGAAAGAGGACGAGGTAGAAAGAGAGAGAGGAAAACATGAAGAAGCAACTACACCTTTACACGATAGGCGTTGGACTCAGGTGTGTCCGGTGGACACCAAGGCTTGTGTTCCTTGTCCTTCCGTACCGTTTTTGCTGTGTTCCACATGTGCGCTTGAGAGAATGTCGTCTGCAAGTGTGTTGGTGCTCTCCAATGTTTCGTCCTTCCACTCGCCGCGTGTGATATGCCGCACGCTCCCTCCGTGTGGTCGGCCTTCTCCGACTCGAGAATCGCACGCGTACGTTACGCGTGCTCAGCGTGGTCGGAGGTTTGGGGTCGACACCGAAGCGAGTCGGAGTGCGGAGGGTTCGAGCTCGGGCTCCTCTCGAGCCGTGCGTGCGGGCGAGGCGGGGCTGCACCGGGGCGAGGGAGATCCTGTCGTTCCCCGGGGCCGCGTCCGTCAGAGTGCTCCCCCGGGGCTCCCGCGGCAGGCGCGGCATCGCCGGGCTGTCCTGCGGCTGGTCCCGCGGCCGCTGCAGCGGTTGGCCGTGCCGTCGCGTGCAGCTGTCCCGCGGTCGTCGTCTCCGCGGTGGCCCCGTGGCTGCCCCACCCCGTGGTTCCCTGCGGTCTCCAGCGGTCGTTCCCGTGCCGCGGCTGTCCCGTGCTGTCGTTCCCTGGCTGTCGCGTGAGTGTCCCGCTCGGTGGTCCCGTGCGGCTGGGGGCCGTTTTTGTCTTGGAGGGAAGGGGGCCAGCCACGTCACGATGCGCCGTGTGGGAAGGCTTCGAAGTAGCAAGTTCTGACGCGGCGCCAGCGCGGATCGTGACGTGACCGGGGGGTCGGAGGGGGGGAGGGGCCGGGTCTGGTCATTGGCGTTTAGTGCGAATAACATCAAATGGTTGTTGCCCCGCGGTTGTCATGTGGTTGCCTCAGTCATAGGAAGACAGCAAGAGAACTCAGAGTTACGTTGGTAGTGGTAAATGTTGGGTGGCTACATGTATGAAATGGCTTGTTAAGCTTGAAAGGGTGTTGGGCCCATACAGGTACGAAGGCTTGCACCGGAAGTGTGTTCGATGGCCGAGGCTGTCCCGTGGTTGTCTCTGGCTCCCGTTAGATGCTGGGCTTCTCTGCAGGACAGCGGTGCCACCCACGATCCTTGAATAGCCTCTCTGGGATCTCCTTCGCCCTGCCCCCTCTTGAGCAGTGAGGTGCTGTCCGCGTGCACCTTCGTGCGGAGCTCGGCAGGAGAGCGGAGGAGACGGCTGCGAGGCGTGGCCCCCCGAGTGGTCTCGACGGGTGTCACGGCGCCGGCCGGTGTGGCGGGGCCCGCCAGGCTTGTGGACCCGTCCAGCTCTCGAGGGATCTCTTGCCAGAGCTACATTGAGGTCGGGCCTGTGCCTCTACAGGGGGATGTTCACAGATAGTTAAGGATAGTCTGGGGACGAGGTTTCTTCCATTCCTGAACATTTGGGAGGCACTTCTGGGGGCATTTCTAATTTTTCCTCCAAAATCCCTCTGTAGGTGGACACGCCCGACTTAGGCTACATTCGTTTTGGCTTTCTGCAGCCAGCGCCCGCAGGCGTGCAAGAACTTCTTGGCTCTCGCTGCGTCAGGTTATTACAACGGCACCAACTTCCACCGCAACATCAAGGCCGATGCCGCGACAGCGGTCGATTCGAGTGCTCCCTTCCGGCTATGGGGACGAGGTGCACCGGACTGCCAGGCTTGTGGCCTGCGTGGAGGCGGTCGGATTTTGCGGTCCCAGATGGGCCTCGGCCCACGAAAGAAGATTTGTCCCCTGATGGGAGTAATCGAACTCTCTTCCTGCCCAAGCTCTGTTTTCGAATTTGGGCCGATAGTATTGTATACCAGCTCATACATACCTGTCATACATAGAGATATATGTATGTGCATACCTATGTATATGTACATAGATGCGCACACATGTAAGCGTATGTGTAGTTAGTCTAACACGAACTGTCTGTGATACACCTTGAGTGCCCCTACAATCACAATTGGCCCCTCTCCCTCCCTCGTTGGGAGAGCGATAGACACATATTTGTACATAGATCGACGACGCTTACGGCGAATCACCGCCGCCCCATGCCTTTTGGAATCGCCCATGTGGCCCAACGTTGAGGCCAGAACTCTGCCAGGATATCCGACCGTGTGGTCACCCAGCCGTTGTGGAAACCCTTCGGGGAATACGCGGGGAAGAACGAAGAAGCGGAGAAGAGGGAGGACAAACAGAGGAGAAGGAGGAGGAGGAGGAAGAAGAAGAGGAGGCGGAGGCGAAGAAGGCTGAGGAGGAGGAGGAGGAGGAGGAGGTGGAGGAGGCTCTTGGGGGCCTTCTGGGAGCTTCTTGTGGGCCTCTCGGAGGTCTCTTGGAAGCCTCCTTGGGCCTCTTGGGGGCCTTTGAGAGTGTCTTGGATGCGTATTTGGCCGTCTTAGAGCGTTCCTGGCCCGTCTGACGCCGTCAGAAGTCGTCTTGAGGGCCTCTCTGGACCGACTTGTGGCCCTCTTGGGGCGCTTGAGGGGGCGTCGTAGAGGCCACCATGGGCGTCTTGGAAGCCTCTTGGGCCGTCTTGACGCCGTCTTGGAGGCTTGTTGGGCCGTCATGGGGTCATCTTTGAGACCTTTGGGGCCATCTTGGGGCGATCTTTGGGGGCTCTTAGGCCGTCTTTGGCCGTCGGAAGGCCGAAAAGAAGCAAATGCCCAACTCCTTCAAAAACCTTGTGAAGATCAGTGATCGTGGCCTCTTCTGGCTCTCCTGAAGGACTTCTTGGAGGCCTCTTGGGCTGTCTTGGAAGCCTCTTGGGGCCCCTGTGACCGTCTTGGCCCGTCTTGGAGGCTTCCTGGGCGGACTCGGAGGCATCTGGGATCCTCGTGGGCCGTCTTGGCTTGGCGGCCACCTCGGACTTTCTTGGGCGAACTTGGAGGCCATCTTGCCCTCTGTCTTGGGGGATTGTTGCCGGACGTTGAGGTCCATTCCGGTTGGCCGGCGTGCTGGACCGAAGCCCCAGGGAGAGCTCTAAAAGAACCAACAATTTATTGACATCTGGCACGCCAGGCTCCCTTGTGGCAAGCCAACAGGGGGCGGCGGATTGAAGACACCTAAGTACGGCGAATCACTGCCGCCCCCTGCCTTTGAAATCACCCATGTAGCCGAGCGTTTTGGCAAGAGCTCTGCCAAGCTATCAGACCATGTGTCCTCCCATTCGTTGTGGAAACCCTTCGGGGAACACTTGGGGGAGGATGGCGAGGAAGATCAAGAGGATGAGGAGGGGAGGAGGCAGAGGAGGATGAGGAAGAGGATGAAGAGGGGGCATCTTGGGAGCCTACGGGAGGCACTCTTGGGGCCTCCTGGGAGCTGCCTGCGAGCCTCTTGGAGGCATCTAGGGGGCCTCGTTAGGCCTCTTGGGGGGACCTTTGGGGGCTTCTCGGGGGCGTCTTTGGCCGTCTTAGGGCATTCCTGGCCCGTCTGACGCCGTCGATGGCCGTCTTGGGGGCCTCTCTGAAGCGACTTGGGGCCCTCTTGGGGTGCTGCAGGGCCGTCTTGGAGGCCATCTTGGGCGTCTTGAAGGTCTCTTGGGCCGTCTTGGGGCCCTCTTGGAGCCGTCTTGGGGGCCTCTTGGGCCGTTCTGGGGCCATCTTGGAGGGCTCTTGGGCGATCTTGCGTGGATCTTTGGGGGCTCTTGAGCCGTCTCTGGTTGTCGGAAGCCCTAAAAGAAGCAATTGTTAAAGTCCGCCAGAAACCAGCAGAAAGTCCAGGACTTTGGCTTCTTCGGGCTTTTCTGGAGCCCCTATTGGAGGCCTCTTGGGCCGTCTTGGAGACCTCTTGGGGGCCTCTTGGGCCGTAATTGGCCATCTTGGAGCCATCTTGAGCCGTCTTAGTGGCCTCTTGGCCCGTATGACGCCGTCGATGGCCGTCTTGGGGATCCGCCTCTCGGGCCGTCTTGGGGCACTCTCTGGCCGTCTTGGGGTCCTCTTGGACGCCTCTTGGGCCGTCTTGGGGTGATCTCGGGAGCCTCTTGGGCCCTTTTGGAGCTTGGCAAAACCGCACAGGCGAGAACGCCCACATCATTCAACAACTTTTTTTGGTTCCAATCAATGATTTTTGCTCCTTGGGGCCCTTTTTGGAGGCCTCTTGGAGGCCTCTAGCGCCGTCTTGGAGGCATCTTGGGCCATCTTGAGACCATCTTGGGAGTCTCGGAGCGATCTTGGAGCGACTTGAGGCCCTCTTTGACAATTCTGGGGGCCTCTTGGAGCCAGCTGGGCTCGTGTTGGGGCCCTCCTGGGCGGGATAGGCTGACGAGAGCGATTCTGGCGATTCCAGCAGGCCCTGGGCCGGCCCTGGACGCGACTGGGCCGGGCCCTGAAAAGACTTACAAGTCTGGCTGCAGCAGCACCAGCACCGCCCTCTCTGTGCTGCATGAGCCCTGGGGCATTCCACTTCGTGCCAGAGGCACGGTGGCGGATATATCCGTAAGGGCTTCGCCCCCTGCCGCCGGCCCCCGCTCTCGGAGAATGGGCCATGGAAGAGCGAAGTCATGAGGCTTTGGCTTTGCCGTGAAGCAGTGTCGGGACCTATTTGTTTTTGGACCCTGACCCCGCCGATCTGCGTGAGGGGTGCCGCCGAATTTCAGACAAGTGGCAAGTCCCTTCTGTTTTTGGACCCTGACCCTACGGATCTGCGTGAGGGGTGCCACCGAATTTCAGAAATGTTTCAAATCCCATGTGTTTTTGGACCCTGACCCCGCCGATCTGCGTGTGGGGTGCCACCGAATTTCAGAAATGTGGCCAATCCTTGGTGTTTTTGGACCCAAACCCCGCCGATCTGCTTGAGGGGTGCCACGGGATTTCAGAAAAGTTGCAAATCCCTTGTGTTTTTGGACCCGCCCCCCGCCGATCTGCGTGTGGGGTGCCACCGAATTTCAGAAATGTTGCAAATTCCAAATGTTTTTGGACCCTGACCCCGCCGATCTGCGTGAGGGGTGACACCGAATTTCAGAGATGTGGCAAATCCGTTGTGTTTTTTGACCCTGACCCCGCCGATCTGCGTGAGGGGTGACACCGGATTTAAAACATGCGGCAAATCCCTTTGTGTTTTTGGACCCTGACCCCGCCGATCTGCATGAGGGGTGACACCGAATTTTCAGAAATGCAGCAAATTCCAAATGTTTTTGGACCCTGACCCCGCCGATCTGCGTGAGGGGTGCCACCGAATTTCAGAGATGTGGCAAATCCGTTGTGTTTTTGGACCCTGACCCCGCCGATCTGCGTGAGGGGTGCCACCGGATTTCAGAAGTGTTGCAAATTCCATTTGTTTTTGGACCCTGACCCCGCCGATCTGCGTGAGGGGTGCCGCCGAATTTCAGACAAGTGGCAAGTCCCTTATGTTTTTGGACCCTGACCCTACGGATCTGCGTGAAGGGTGCCACCGAATTTCAGAAATGTTTCAAATCCCATGTGTTTTTGGACCCTGACCCCGCCGATCTGCGTGTGGGGTGCCACCGAATTTCAGAAATGTGGCCAATCCTTGGTGTTTTTGGACCCTGACCCCGCCGATCTGCTTGAGGGGTGCCACGGGATTTCAGAAAAGTTGCAAATCCCATGCGTTTTTGGACCCGCCCCCCGCCGATCTGCGTGCGGGGTGACACCGAATTTTCAGAAATGCAGCAAATTCCAAATGTTTTTGGACCCTGACCCCGCCGATCTGCGTGAGGGGTGCCACCGAATTTCAGAGATGTGGCAAATCCCTTGTGTTTTTTGACCCTGACCCCGCCGATCTGCGTGAGGGGTGACACCGGATTTAAACCATGCGGCAAATCCCGCTGTGTTTTTGGACCCTGACCCCGCCGATCTGCATGAGGGGTGACGCCGAATTTTCAGAAATGCAGCACATTCCAAATGTTTTTGGACCCTGACCCCGCCGATCTGCGTGAGGGGTGCCACCGAATTTCAGAGATGTGGCAAATCCCTTGTGTTTTTGGACCCTGACCCCGCCGATCTGCGTGAGGGGTGCCACCGGATTTCAGAAGTGTTGCAAATCCCATGTGTTTTTGGACCCTGACCCCGCCGATCTGCGTGAGGGGTTTTAATTTTTACCTTCCCAGGAATTCTGAGAACCCTCCAGGGGGGTGCTAACCAGGGTGGTTTTCGGCTCCCCCCCATCGCGCGGACAGTAACAATTTTCCAGAGGAAGCAGAAATCAGTATTGTACAAATGGAAACTGGAAACTGGAACTGGTGCAGGGAGCAGCAAGCTTAATCCTCGCAGCCTGATGGCCCCGCAAGGGGGCCGGCGGATATATATATATATATATATATAGTATATATGTATATATATACACATCTATGTATATATATATACATAGATCATGGTGCCAACCTCGCAGAGCGGATTCCGTTCGGATGTCAATAGGACGGGCCTGGGGAGTCTTGGAGAATTTCGTCCCGGATTTCGAAATTTATTTCGTGCGGATTTTGTTCGGCCAGGGATGAAGACTAAAACAAGTCCACGCGAAAATCATTTCGCTTTTCACTCGCCGTTTCGGGGCCTTGCGTTGACAGCAATCCACGCAGAAATCCGCTGCAGCACGTCTGCAAGGTCGTTGCTGCTATATAGAGAGGCGAAGAGAGGAAGCGGAAATGATGACCAAGCAAAGAAGCACACACACAAAGCAGTGACGCGGTCATGAAGCCAGGGAGCTGCGCTCTGCTTGCGAGACTCCCCGTGGCTGGAAGGGATCACCTGAGAATCTCGCGCTCTCGATGCGTCGTTCAGGGCTTCATGCTGCAGGGAGGTGCGCGCCCCTGCTTGCTTGCGCGCGTCGCCCTCTCGGAGTGGAGGAGTCCTAAGATCGGATTGGGCTGCCACGGCAGCAGAGGTACGCAATTAGCCAGGAGCAGGTCCTGCCAGGAGCAGGAGGACGCGGAGGTCAGGAAAACGATTCGCAGGAGGAGCAGGAGGAAGACAGGTGTTAATCCAAGAATCATCAACGATGTTGGAACGAGCCCTCCCTCCAAGCTCCTTCTTCATAGGCCCCATACAACGTTTCATGTCTATTGAGGGAACTGCCTCGTTGGAAGACAACTGTTTCTGTTGCGTGTTGACGATCCGGAATCTGACCAGAACGCCATTCCTGGGATTTCAAAACAGCGAATCAAGGTAACTGTTGCGCCCGCGTAATCTTGAACCTTTCGAGAAAACAGATCTGGTACGTTGACGATGGGAACCCGTGGAACTCTTGCATTTGTTTGCAACGGATGTCGCCGCGCTAAGGCGAGAGCCACATTTTGAAAACGACCCGGCCTCAATCCGTGAAGCTCGTGCAATGTTTTACAACGAATGTGCGCCGCGCTAAGGTCAGAGCCACATTTTGAAAACGACCCGCCCTCAATCCGTGAAGTTTTTGCAATGTTTTGCAACGAATGTGCGCCGCGCTACAGGGAGAACCGCATTTTGAAAACGACCCGCCCTCAATCCGTGAAGCTTTTGCAACTTGTTATAACAAAAGTTCGCCGCGCTGAGGCGAGAGCCACATCTTGAAAACGGCCCGTTTTCAAACTGCGGAAACCTTGCAATGTTTTACAACGAATGTGCGCCGCGCTAAAGCGAGAACCATATTTTGAAAACGGCCCGCCCTCAATCCGTGAAGCTCTTGCTGCTCACCGTTTACAGCGAATGTGCGCCGCGCTGATGCGAGAGCCACATTTTGAAAACGCCCCGTCCTCAATCCGTGAAGCCCGTGCAATGTTTCACCACGAGTGTGCGCCGCGCTAAGGTCAGAGCCACATGTTGAAAACGACCCGCGCTACAGGGAGAACCACATTTTGAAAACGACCCGTCCTCAATCCGTGAAGCTCTTGCAACTTGTTATAACGAATGTGCACCGCGCTGAGGCGAGAGCCACATTTTGAAAACGACCCGTTTTCAAACTGCGAAACTCTTGCAATGTTTTACAACGAATGTGCGCCGCGCTAAAGCGAGAACCATATTTTGAAAATGGCCCGCCCTCAATCCGTGAAGCTCTTGCTACTGTTTACAACGAATCTGCGCCGCGCTAAGGCGAGAGCAACATTTTGAAAACGACCCGTCCTCAATCTGTGAAGCTCGTGCAATGTTTCACTAGAAATGTGCGCCGCGCTAAGGTCAGAGCCACATTTTGACAACCACGCGCCCTCTATTTGTGAAGCTGTTGCCAACGTGCAAGCTTCAGAGTTATAAAAGGTGAGGAAGTCGCAGGCGAAACGCCCGGCCCTGGGGTGCGACAGGGAGAAGTTATTCACAAGGAATGGAAAATGAGGGGGAGGAGGGGGAGGGGGAGGGTCGGGAGGAAGAGCAGGAGGAGGAGCAGGAGGAGGAGGAGGAGGAGGAGGAGGAGGAGGAGGAGGTCGAGGCTTCACCAGAGGATCGGGCAATATTTTGCCACCAGGGACCACGGAGCGCGTGGATCAGTCCTTTCAAGCTGGCAACATGGCAACACGGAGGAGGAGGAGGAGTGGAAGGAGGAGGAGGAGGAGGATCAGCATGTACAGAAACAGCATGGGGCAGAACAGCGACGGGGGCCTGGGTAAAATTGTGGTACTTTGTTGCTCAGAGTCGCGGGTCGTTCCGGGACGGTGTGCGGCTGGCAGCGGGTAGCCAGCGAAGGCAGCAGCATTCGTCGATGCCGGCCCGAGGTGATCCTACAGGTACTGGCAAAGGACCCGCTTCTCCGTGTGAGAAGTGCGCTCGATGGTGCAGGGACGAAGGTGACGATATGATGATTGGGCGTTCTATGCTCTCTGCGCCTGCAGCACCCATTGTACCCTGGGGCCTCCGCAGAGCAGCCGGCCGCTGCTGAGAGTTTGACACATCTATGTGTGCAAGTTTTGTTGTGAATCGTATGTTGGTTGGCTCGCCACCTTTCTGCATTTCCTCGCTGTGGTATTTACGTCACGCGTTCACTTTTGCTTTAGCTGATCTTGCGCTTGTTTGTGTTCGGCCTAACTTGGTCTGTCTTAGCTTCGCTCGGCATGTCGCACCCCAGCGTTGGTTGATTGACACGGCTTGGCTGAACGTGTCCCAGGTTATCGTGCTTGAGTCTGCCCTAGCTGATCTCGTGTAAGGCTTGCTCGGCCATCCTTGCTCTTCTTCCATGTTCGTGTGCGCTCTATTGCGTCGTAGCTTATGATGCCTGGCCTTGGTTTAGCTTAGCGTTGCCTCGCTTATCCGAGTCTATGTTATCATTTCGTATCTTCAACCAGCGTGGCTTTTCGATTTCAGCTTTCGTTGTAGTGCCATAGCTTAGCCTTGCCCAATTCAGTATATCCTCGTTCAGCTGAGAGCGGCATGGCCTGACTAGATCACCTGTTTCAGTCTGACTTGCTATATATAGGTCTGGCTTATGTTTGGGCCGTATGTCCAGGTTACCGAATGTTCACTGTGACCTAGCTTAGCCGATCTTCGTTTGGCATGGCGCATAGTTCACAAGTTTAGCATGGCAAGTGTTGCTTAAGTTGGTTAGTCTGAGACATCCCAAGAAGTATCATAGCGTAGTTTTGCTGATCTTGTCTTCGATTCGTTCTGGTGTTGGTGTTGGTCTTAGCTAGCTTAGCGTGACCTAGATCAGCTCCATTCTGCCCAGCAGGGGCTTGCTGTGGCTTGATTTACCATGGCTGTGTCTTAGCCCGTGGTCGGGCCCGTGGTCCAATGATTCAGCTAAGTTGATCGACATCGTCATGTCTGATTCTGCAGCTGATACCTGCGGGGCGAATTCTAGACAGTCTAAATATTGGGGCACATTCGTCGTCGATCGAAGAGCGTCAGTGGGGTACCTGCTAGCAGACAGGTGTCTTAAATGTTGTGCCTAACGTGTGCTCCCCATTTGCAAGTACAATGACTTGTTGGTCAGCCCGTGAGTATTCCTGCCAGATGGGGGGGGTCCTGTGAACCTTTTCCTATTTGGCCATTGTTCTCTTGGATTTTGTCCACCCTACGTAGGGCCAGGAGCGATCCTAAATCAGTGGAGGGAGAAATAAACAGAAGTAAGATCAGCGATGTTCGCGTGGACCTCGTTGCTCTTGATAGCGTCATTGTGATTACTCGTTCACCGTTTCTTTGCAGCGTTTCGCCCACGCCAGAGGAGTCGTCGGAGGGCGCGGGCGCGTGACAGTGTTGTGGTTTCCCTGTTAATCTTTTCTAAGTGTGCGCAACAAATGCCCTGCGCCAGAGCATGCTGACCCGTGGCCGTTGTGAAGCCTTGGGCTGAATCGGCCAGGTCACGCTCGATCAGCAGCGCCCCCCCTCTTTTCTGCGGCAACGCGAGTGCTTCAAATGGCCGGATGTTACGAGGGCTTCGCGCAGCAGTTATGTTGCGGTTTCTCCTCCACGAGCTGTTCATCCATCCTCACAGGAGGACAGAGCATCTGGGGCGGCTACTTTGAGGACGAGTTCGTATCCACGCTCAAGCACGAGCGGAGGGGCTGCCTCTCCATGGTGAACACGGGGCCGAACACGAACGGCTCCCGCGTTGCTGCTTTCAACTGTTCTCGCGATGCCGTCTGCGTACGGGGAGGCTGGAAACGCATGCGGGTCGGGTCCGGTTGTGCCGCATGCGTTGGGTCTCCAGCCGTTTTGTTGGCTCGTCGGACCGCGCAAAGGTCTTTGTTCAGGCTGGGGCATCGGGTCTTTGTTCGTTTTGGGTCGGGGCATTGGCTGTCCCTGTGCTCTTTGTTTGCAGGCCTGCGCGAGCGCGGTTTCCCCTGCGCTAGCCATTCTGTCCGCAGTGATTCCAGCCCTTGGTGTCTCCAGCCTCCCCGCGCGTGTCTGCGTCATGTCGCTATTCACCGCTCTGCGAGCATCATGTGTGGCATTACCTCTGCTGTCAAGTTGTGGTCGGTCATCGATCTGAGCTGAGTTTGGACGATGCTCGGGATGGGCTCAGAGACGCAGCTCGCAGGGAAGTGCGAGACGTAAATAAGGGGCGGCGAGCCCAGGTGGAAGTGAGAAGGGGCGGGCCTTCTCAGAAGGCTCAGAAGTCAGCTGGCCCTCTGAGAAGTTGTCTAAGTCTTCCCCGAACACACAGAAAACTTCTCAGAAGACGCAAGGCCTTCTGAGATGTCTCGCCACCTTCCGAGAAGGCCTTCTCCTCCTCGTTTCCCCCCCTCGCTCGCCGCCAAGCAATGGCGACGTATTTGGTTGTTGGGATCTCTCGCAGTGCTATTCGCACGCGTGGAGTCTTCGCGGGCAGCGATCCCGAGGTCTTCGGGATGCCTCCATTGGAGGAAGCCTTGCTATCCCCGCTTTTCCGAGGCTCTCAGTTCTTCATCACGTACGCCCGCCAGCCACACTTGAACGGCGTTTACACGACGTTCGGCCGTCTCATCGACGGCCTCGACACATTAGACAAGATTGAGAAGGCGCTGGTGGGTCGGAGGAACGGGAGGAAGAGGACGTGCTGTATCTCTGTAGGTCGTTTGGCTTCTGCAGTCGGCAGCTGGTTTCCAACCCTGTAGTTGATGCTGCTTGCATCTGGCGGTGTACTGGTGTTCAGCATGTTTTCTGACGGTTGCCACTGCAGCTGCCGCGTAGGTTAGCACCCGCACGCCCAAACAGAGGAACAGATGGCAAATACACAAGGAGCGACATACATCTTGCTTGTATCTACGATGAGGCACTGAAGATGGTCATGCCCGTTCCGTCTTTCGGAGCACTTCGGCAGCCCGCCTGGGAGCCTGGAATTCGCGGCCTGGAAGCCTGAACATGGGCATCGGTTTCTGATATTCCACTTTATTTTAGCCTGAACCACCAGCAATAATGTCTAGCACGAAGAGGGTACCGAAACCTGAGGGTCTTTCCGTGTCGGGCTCTGGGCGGCGATGCTTGTCCGACACGGATTCGATATTTGTCTTGGGAGTTCGACATTCTTTTTTGGGGGGGTTGGTCCTCAAGTACGAGGGGAGCAACATTACACCAGAGAAAAAACTAAATTAGTGGATGGTTTTCGCTGAGGAGATCGACCGGGAACCCGCGAACCCGGGAACCTGGCCGGAACTCGGAACCAACCGAAGTCGGCCCGGAACCAACAACCAGGAATCCGGGAACCCGGAACCCGGGAACCCGGGAACCCAGCCGGCCACCAAAATCGGTTTCTGCCAAATCTTTCATATATCGGCTATGACACCTTCGGTTCGGGTTGACCCAACAGGGGGTCCAGCGACAAGGGGGTGGTGCAATAGATTTTGGGCAAGAGATTTGTGGGGTTGCAACACATCTGGGGCGTGCAATACATCCCAGGGCGCAAATGTATTGCTGGATTTTCGCGCGCAATGCACTACTTGCAATACGATGCAGGACAAGTCTCCGGCGCATTACATTTGCAATACAGTTGCCCGAAATCTATTGCACCACCCCCTTTCAGCTGGACCCCCTTTTGGGGTTTGGACCACCACGTCCTGGTCAACGCACCTGTGCTTATTCGCCAATCATTGGCGAATAAGCACATCAGAAGCCAGGCGAAGGCTGGCAAATCCGTGGCTGCTAAAATGGAGCTCTGGGAAATTGTTTTTCTATTCTGGGAAGCAGCCTGTTTATTATTTGGCAGTCTGAGACTTATTCTGGGAAATTGTTTTTTTCCTTCCGGGAAGACAATTTAGCAGCCACGGATTTGCCAGCCCTTGCCCAGCTTCCGAGCACAGGCGCGTTGACCAGAACGTGCGGCGCGCTCCAGAAGGACGTGCGTTGAACAGGACGTGCGTTGACCAGGACGTGCAGGCTTGCGCTCGAGAGGCGCGCCGAGAGAGGAGGGGCCGCCCGAGGCACCGCAGGATGGGGCGCTCTGGCCTGGCGTGAGGTCGGTCGTGTCCCTCTACAGGAGGTCTTCAAAAATAGTTTCAGAATAATGTGGGAACGGTTTTTGTTGTATTTTTCACTATGTTTGAGTGCTTTTGGAGTACCTTTGTAAGTTTTCGTCTAAACTCCGCCTGTAGGGGGACACCCCGACCTAAGCTTAAGTCGGGCCCGTCCCTCTACAGGAAGAATGTTCAAAAATAGCTAAGAAAATAGTCAGGGAAGATTTGTTGAGGATTTGCTGGGTTATGTTTCGAATGTGTTTTGCGTATTTGGCATTTTTCGTCCAAACTCCGCCTGTGGAGGGACATGCCCGACGTAGTAGCCCTTGGTCGCTCCCGGGGGGCGGCCCATGCGTCGGAAAAAAAACACGACGTGGGGCTCACAGTGGAGGGTTTCTCCGAAGGGCCTAGGCGACCCGTCCTCCGCCTCCTCCTCCTCCTCCTCCGCCGCCTCCTCCTCCTCCTCCTCCATCTCCTCCTCCCCCTCCCCCTCCTCCACCTCCTCCTCCTCCTGCTCGGGTCGCCTACGGCCCCAGGGGAAACCGTGCAGCTCTCAGCCATTCCTGGGCCTCCTCCTCCTCCTCCGAGTCCATGTTCTGTGAACGTTATTGCTGCGCTCTCCTGCTGGTGCCGCTGCCAGCGCTGGCGGCATGCTCAAGCTTTTCTCGGCGGCCGAACGCCCAGCGCCACCTCTCTTCTCCTGGGATCGCAACACCCTCATCACCTGGGACCCTCGATTGTTCGGAGTTGCAGAGTATCTCGGCCCTTTCGCGGACCAGACCACCACGTGCTACCTCGTCAATCAGACTTTCGGTGGTGTCGAGGGCGCCCTAGTGTTGACCTTCCTGCTTGGCACTGTCTTCGGCAGTGCGTGCTCGTGCTGCTGGTGCGCGTGTCTCGCAGGACGGCAGTATTAAGTGTGGGCGGAGGGCCTACGTCCAATGGCGTCGAGGCGAGTCCTGGCAAGCTGGCGTGCTGTTGCGATGCGGCGCCGACGAGTGCGAGACTGAGATTGGCATGCGTCCGACAGCGAACCAAGTCCTGGCGAATCAAGCCTGGTACGCATCGGCTCCCGACCTCGACGTGTACCCCCACTTGCTGCGTTGCCCGCCATTGAGCGGGATCGTGCTGACAGACAACTCGGGCCTGCCGTTGCGAGAGTCGAGGAGTGGAACACAGTGGACGGTTCGGAGTGTGGTGTGCGGCGACCAGTGGGGGCCGGCAACGCTCGAGCTCGCAGAGGCGTTGAGCTTCGTGGGGGCCCCGACGCCGAACCCAGCCAGCGGGACAGCGCCCGCGGTGCCAGCGCCTACCCGCCGCCTCCGCTGCAAGCAGGCCTCCGCAGGGGACGTCCCCCCGGCGCTGGCAGCAGCAGCAGCAGCAGCAGCAGCAGCAGCAGCAGCAGCCGCAACAGCGAGTGAGATCGAGGTGGGGAAGGGCGTTCTTCCGTCCGTGGCTCTGCTGGGCTGGTTCGTTGTCAGAGCTACGTGTACGTCGCCCATCAAGGAGCTTCTTGTGTCTCACACGGTTGATGCGTATTGTGTGTTGGGCGATTTCGCGCTGGCTAGAGTTGGTTCGTCCTTTCTCATTTTGCATGCCGTGGACCCTGTCAATCCTGGGAAGGATGGTAAGCTAGATGCTCGTGTGCTCTCAGTGGTGACAGGGCCGAACGGTACTCGCCATCGTAGCCCATCGTGAGTCAGCGCGGACGCTCTCAGTCTCTTCGTGGGTTGGTTGTCCGATCTTCGGCCACCGGACCACAGTATGGTATTCCAAGTTTCTTGCCCAGCAGGACCAGCATCCGCGGGCACGGCGGCCGGAGTGTGTGCACGAGTGTGGCTTGCAGCCGCATGATGATGGAGTTCAGGATCATGATCTCGTCTTGCGAATGTGGGAGGCCGCTTTGTGTTACGACCAGCTCGTGGTCGGGGAGTTAGCCTGTATGGAGCTGCCCTCGAGGAGGGCTCAGATGGCAAAGTGGCGTCACGGGGGCTGGCTGCATCTTAGGACGCCAATCCGACGACGTGATAACAGACTCCTTTTCTCTACGCGTGCGTCGGCGAGACGCGCGGATTGCTGATGGTCTCGCCCGAGCTGCAGGGGCACATCAACAGCGAGCCCCAAAGGAGGCGCAGGCGCTCCAGGGAAAGAGGAAGGTCAAGGAGGAGAGGCCGTTGGCGCGGCCAGACTCTGGCTCGGGCGGCGCAGGCGGCGACAGCAGGGTTGGGTTGCAGAAGAAGGCGCAGCAGCAGGCCGAGAAGGGCGACGAGGGCGACAAGACCCGCGGCCGTGCCCGCGGGTCGGGGTTATAATGATGACTCCCAGGGCGGTCCCGCGGCATCTGGTGCCCCTGCAGCCGCCCGCCGCAGCCGCCGACGGACTGGTCTCCACGGACCTGAGCCGCAGCGTTGCGTTCGCTCTCGAGCTCGCCGGCGTGGGCACGAGCAGCAGTGGACATGTGGCGTTATCGCGTTGCGGAATGGCGCGCATGGCCGCGCGGCCCCAGAAGGGGGTAACTTTTTTCTCTCGGGCAGGCGCAGGGGTTCTCGCACGCGCGCCGAGTTGTTCACGATGCTGGACCTCCTCTCTGCTCCCCCGCGGCAGCCCATCAGGCGCTGCGCGGCGCCGCCCCAGGGCGCGACCATGTCGACGCGGGGCCCGAAGCCAAGTGCCAGAGGGAGCTCGTCTCCCTGCCTCGCCTGGCCCAAAGAGCGACCCAACGGTGTCCCTAGTGGGCGAGGAGCTGGATCAATGGGCGCACTGGCGCACGCGGCTTTCGCGGAGGACAAGCGCCCCGAGCATCGCCATCAAGCCGCGTGTTGACCGGAGCGTTAGGTGTAGATGTGTCGAAGCCTAGTTCATATTTGACCTCATCGACGCGGGGCTCGTCGCAGCGGGCGCGCCCGCGCGCGCCGCTCTCGGAGCTTTCTTTGTCTGGCAGGCCCGTCGCAAGCAGATGCGCCTTATCCTGGACACTCGTGCAGTCAACGATTATGTTGAAACCTCTGAGCACAGCGAGCTATCCGCAGTTGCTGCATGGGCCAATGCGCGGTCCAACTCAGGCGAGCAGGTATGCGTGGCCCTGCTTTTACCGTATTCAGCTTGCGCCCGGCATGTCCCAGTATCTCTTTGGTATCGCTCGGACAAGTGCATTTTTTCTCGGCGGGGATTCGTGAGGGGCATCCTGGATCATCCTTCAGAAAGAAAAACACCCACGAAACCGAACAAATAAAACACAGGGAATGGACGTCCGAGCGATGGCAAGTTTCACGCCCCCCAAGGTTCACTTCCCCACGTTGCAGAAGCTGCGTCCTGAGCTGGAGGTCGAGATGGACAGCGTGTTTGCGCCTCCTCAATTGCAGACGTTGCCCATGGGATGGGCCTGGCCAGGGGTCTCCTCATCTGCCAGAAGTTGCTGGAGGCGAGCGCGCTGAGGGCGCGGCTTCGGCGCGCGCCGACTGCTGCGTGACAGGCAGCTGGTCGGGCCCCTGAGCGAGCGAGCCCACGATCGCGGCGCGCGTTGCCAGCGTCGCCGCCGTCGGCGCCGACTGCGCCACTTGCGCTGCCATCTGCGCCGACAGCGCGGCCGACGTCGAGCAGCGACGGCTGAACTGCAAGGGCGTCGTGGGGCCCGCCGCCCTGCAGCAATTCGCGGGCCTGGTCATGGCGCGTCGCCGGGCGGGCGGGCGCGCCTCGCGGGCGCCCGCGGCGGGCGCGGCCAGCCGCGCAGGACGCCTCGGACAAGGACTCCTGCACCAGGGGCGAGCTGCCGCGCGCCATTGGCCGCTTCACCTGGGCCGTGGTGGCTGGGAGGGGCCTCCTCTCCATCGCGCAGTCCCGTTGCGCCTTCTGCCATCGGAGCGGTAGCCGGCGGCGCCGTCTGAGGTCTCGCGCTCGGCAGGAGCTGCATTGGGCTTCCTCTGTCGCCTTCTTCGCGGGCGCGAGAGCGGCCGCCGACCAGCGGGTCTTGGCTATTGGCGCCTCGTGCGCCGGTGACAACAACGACTTCGGAGGCTTTGGCGCGGTCGAGCGCGGCGGCCCACCTGCGCTTGCCGAGAGTGCCAGTGGGCGCTCGGAGAAGTGGCGCTTTGCCGTGCTTGAGGCCATCGCCGCTCGCCAGCTGGCCTTGGGGTCAGACGCCCCCGCCACGGCCGCCGAGCGTCGCTGCCTTCGGCGCGGCCGCTCTCCCTTCCAGCCGGCCCCGAGCGAGCCGATCGCCAACGAGCAAGATTGGCAGCGCTTCGTCAGAGGGCGTCTCAATCGACCAGATGGTATCATGGCACTCGAGAGGCGCGCGGCCTTTGTCGGCGTCAAACATCGCCCGCGCCGAATCGAGTCGCATCACCCCCGTCATCTCATGCTCATGGATAACTTGGGGCTGATATTGGCTATTGGGAAGGGACGGCCGCCAGCTGTTCACGTCAATCATGTACATCAACCTATCTCCATTCCCAGGTGGATTCCATCAGAACGGAAACCGTCAGATCGCCTGTCGCGCATGGCTTCTTGCTCTGTTCGCGACCCTCGGGGCGATCCCAGATATGTCGCGGCGACCGGGGCCCGCAGCTCGTGCCGAGCAGCGACTGACTCTCGGCCGAGATCGATGCTCTGGCCTGCTGCCGGGCGCCACTCGGCGTCGGCCGCCTCCGCCTCGGGGGCGAGCTTCAGGGCGGCCCCGCCGTCGGAGGAGGGGGCAACGCCGCCTTCTGGTCAGTCGCCCACGCAGGAGACGAAGGCGCTGAAGAGGCCAGCTCCAGCGACTCTTCCAGCGCCCGCAGCGAGTCAGGGGGCCCCGTCGACGAGGTCGGCGGCCCAGCCGCGTCGGAGTGCTTGCTGCTCCGAGTCAGGCGCCGCGGGTGGCGAGTGGGCGGTGCCGCGCGAGGCTGCGCGCGGAGGCGAAGCAGGACGCCGCGCAGAGGGGGGTTACCCGTCTCCAGCGCCGGAAGATCTCCGACGTCAGCCGCGGGAACTTCGAGCGCTAGTGCGAGGAGCTGCATGCCGTCTGCCGGGCGAACCAGCTGTCTCTGACTTCCGCGGGGAGCGCGGGCGCGGCCGCCAGCCGCTACCTCGATGGCCTCTTCCTGGGCGGGTGCAACCGCGACGAGGGGGGGGAGGCCATCGCCGCGGCCAGGCACTTCAGCCCGGTCTTGCCGCTGGGCGACTCCCGCTCGATGCCGCGGACCTGCGCCGCCGCGCGAGGGTTTAGACAGCCGGCGCCGGGTCGGACGCGGCAGCCGGCCGCTGCCCAGGCCCGCCGTCTTCGCGGTGGTGGGCTTCCCTGGGGCGACCAACCGCCTAGAGTTGGCCCCGGCCCTGGCGCTGAGTTGCGACTGCTGCCGACGCGACCCAGCGAGCAGGGAGTGCGAAGCAAGACCGGCGACTTCGACGAGGGCGCGCCCCTCAGCAGCGCGATGTCCAGAGCGGCAGGAGAGTCTCTGGGGCGTCTACGTGCGACGCGGGCGCCCGCCGAGCGGCCGTGGACCTTCGACGGCGGCCAGTTCCAGAGAGCGTTCGAGCAGGTCTTCCTCTCCCTCGGGCTGCCAGGCGCCCGCCCGCGCCAGGTTCGGCGCGGAGCGGCCAGCGACGACGCGGGCGACGGGGCGACGGGACATGGCCGAGGTGCAAGTACGGCTTCGCCTGCCTCGCCAATCGACCGACTCGCCCACCCGCAGGTGCGGTCGTTACGCGCGGTACTTCGCAGAGCTTGCCAAGGCGCCGCAGCCGTTGGCGGGGCGCGGCGAGATGATCGAGCGTCGCCTGGCCGACCTGCCGATCGGCCGCTGGACAGCGCCGTTGCCTCCCGGAATCGCGTCTGGCTCGCGGGCGACGCCGGCCAGGCGAGGGGGGCGCCGAGCCGCAAGGCAGTCCAGCGGCGCCTTCAGTCTGCCATGCATCAGGCCATGTTTGTCTCTGCTCAGATCGGACGCCACCAGGTGTTGCTCGATCTTTTCTCAGGTAGCGGGGGGGCGGGGGCATCAGGAAAGAGGTCCAAAAGAGTTCTGGTTTCGGATGCCTCTCGCTTGACATCACCGTCGATCCTGCCTGGAACTTTCCGCCTCCGTGGTGTTCGACGTGCTGATCGGGTGGATCGGTACCGGCCTCATTCGAGGCGCCTTTCTTGCGTCACCGCGCTCGACCTGGAGTACGGCGAGCCGGGGCCGATACCGCACTGCCGAGCAAATATCCGGTCGACCCTTGCTGGATGCCGCTGTCGCTGGGCGCGTGATGGTCGGTAATCTGACCCTTAAGTGGGCCCAGCGAGTGGTCAAGGCATGCATTCGGCACGGGGTGCCCGCGATCCTTGAGAAGCCGCAGTCGTCTCCCATGTGGCGAGAGCCTGTCATGGCCAAATCGTTGTCGCGTCCTCGTGCCAGGCTTGCCGTCGCTGATGTTTGCCAGCATGGCGCCCGCTGGCGCAAGAGCGCGCGTTCTGCTTCATGGAATTGCCACCTGCAGCCCAGTGCCCCGTGCAGACACTGTCAGGGCCGAGACGGCCGTTGCTCCGCAGCAGGGCCCCCTCGCATCTCTCTCGAGGGCGGGGCGCCTGGCGGCGCCCGCTGGACCGCCAGTGCCTCTCCCTGTCCTCCAAGTAGCAACCGTTCGGTCAGCAGTTGGCTCACAAGCAGTGCCGCCAGTATCGAACGTGTTCGGCAACATCCGGCTCGTCAGCATGGCTTCTGTGCTGCCGGTTTAGCTCACCGCATCCGTTGGTTGAAGACTGCTTGTTGAGGGCATTCTTGCGGCCAGGCGTCCAGCACGGGCTATGGTGTGTGGACTCAGCTGAAGCACTGATCTGGCATTCGAATGTGCTGTATTTCTGCGCTCGAATCTCGTTTTAAGCAGCCCGGCATTTCCTGTACATCGTTTTCGTTTTGGCAATGAAAAAAAAGGAGCCCACCAGCAGAGTCCATGTTATGTGAACGTCATTGTTGCACTCTCCTGCTGCTGCCGCTGCCAGCTTCCGTTGGCGTCATGCTCAAGCTCCGTCCTCCATCCCCACCTCCCGGTATATTCGTGTGGCTAATTTGTAGTGCTCAGGGGGGTGGGTTCAGCTAGCGACATGATCTGGCATTCGAATGTGCTGTACTTTTGCGCTCGAATATTGCCTTCAGCAGCCCAGCATTTCCTGTAAATCGTTGTTTTGTTCTAGCAGTGAAAAATGGAGCCCAGCTTCCTCCTCTTCCTCCTCCTCCTTCCTCCTTCCTCCTCCTCCCCCTCCTCCCTCCTCCTCCTCCTCCTTCTCCTCCTCCTCCTCAGACAGCCGACATACGACGTCGCAGGTCTGGAGCCGCAGAAAGCCTCGAATTTCGGACCTCGATTGTGAAGTCGGGCGTGGCCCTCCACAGGAGGAATATAATAAAAAATTGTAAACAATAGTCTGGGGACGCTTTTTGAGCATGTTTTGACTTTTCTTTTGTTTTCTTTTACTCGTATTTTTGATTCTTCGTCCAAAATCCCCCTGTAAGGGGGACATGCCCGACCTGACTGGCGTGCAATCGACCGTTGCCCCCGGGGGGGGGGGCGGCTCGTGCGGGCCCACACCCACGGGCACTCCATAGACCTCCAGGGAGCCACGCGAAGAAGGATTCCGGGGCGTCGGAGGCGTGGGTCCTGGGAGGCCATGGCGGCCCGCAGAGCGGGGAGGCGCCAGGAGGCGCCGCCCGGGTGCGCACCGGGAGCCGGCCGAGGTGCTCCCCGGCTGCCCCGGCGGAAGTCGGGCGACCGCAAGCAGCTTTGATCCGCGGGTCGAGGGCGCGCCTCTTCCGGTCGAAGCTGAGCGGGCCGCGCGAAGCTTGAACAGGGGGCCACACGCGAGCCCTACCCCTGCCCCGCACGATTTCTGAGGGGGAGGGTGGGGTTCCCTTCGCTCGGGAGCTCCCGAGCGAAGCGAACCCCACCCTCCCCCTCAGAAATCGTGTGGGGTAGGGGTAGGGTTCGCGTGTGGCCCCCTATTGAAGGAGGCAAGGCGGTCGCAAACAGGGATCAAGGGGGGCGTTGATCGGCGACGGGTCCCGAGTCCAGGGGAAGGCGCGGGTTCCCGCCGCCGAGCGAGGCGGCACCGATCCGCGGATTTGGCGACCGCGCGCCAAATCCATGGATCGCTAGTCCATGTTTGCGCGCCCCCCAGGAGGAGGGGGGGGAAGGGGGAGGAGGAGGAGGAGGAGGAGGAGGAGGAGGAGGAGGAGGACGAGGAGGAGGAGGAGGAGGAGGAGGAGGAGGAGGAGGAGGAGGAGGAGGAGGGGAGGGAGGAGGAGGAGGAGGAGGGAGGAGGAGGGAGGAGGAGGGAGGAGGGAGGAGGGAGGAGGGAGGAGGAGGAGGAGGGAGGAGGGAGGAGGGAGGAGGGAGGAGGGAGGAGGGAGGAGGGAGAAGGGAGGAGGGAGAAGGAAGGAGGAGTATCGCTAATCCATGCTTGCGCGCCCCCGAGGAAGGGCCAGAAATGTGGCATTTTGACGGGGCGGGGCGAGGCGTTTCCACTGGCAGTGCCGTGGTCGTGTCTCAACAAGAGTTAAGTCGGGCCTGTCTCTCTACAGGAGGAAGATTCAAAAATAGTCCAAATTAGTCTGGGGACGTTTTTTTTCAATGTTTGACCATGTTTGAATACGTTTTGAATATTTGTTGGTTCGTCGAACATCTGCCTGTAGGGGGACATGCCCGACCTAAAACAAGAACGGAAGTGCACATGCCGCGGTCGAAGAAGCAACATAGGGCATGAGAGAGCCTGGATCTTGGGGCACTGGGCCTCTTTTTTCGTGGCGGTCGCGCATCTCGGTCAGTACATGCTCGTGTCTTCTGTGTGCTTGTGAAGTGGTGTGCGCTGTTGTTTTATTGAACGTGACGCGGAGTGATGTGCCGCATGCTTTTTCTGTACTGATTGGTGCAAGTGTTAAGGCGGGCGTGTCCCTCTACAGGAGAAGTGCTCAAAACTACTAAAAAATAGTATGGGGACGATTTTTCTATTATCTTTGACTATTTTGTGATCTTGTTTGACTATTTTTCATGTTTCGTCCAAAATCGGCCTGTAGGGGGATCTGCCCGACCTAATGCAAGTGTCAAGTGTAGAGCTCTCTTTTGACGCAGTTCAGTGGATCCCGCAAGTATCGATTCGGACTTCCGGCTGCGTGCCTCAGACGGCTTCTCGATCAGGGATGTATATCAGCGCGGTTGTTATTTGTCCCGTCTCTCAGGAGCCTGTGAATGCGAAGAACAAGCCGCAGCGACCAATCAAGATAGAGAGCATTGTGATCCATGCCAACCCCATTGCAGATGAGGAGGCGCAAGGCTGAGGATGCCCTCGCGCACCAATCAAAGCCACCAGCTTGTTCGGGTCTTGTGCTGCCCCTCCCACGCTGGGAAGGGTTAAGCTTGCGAATGCAGCTCCAAGGTGCCTAGCCTCTTGACCTTCGCTTCGCCAGAGCGTTCGAAACGCTTACAAGTTTTCCTCACGTTGGTCACGGGCTTGACTTGGGGGGAAGTGTGATGCAGGTAGAGACGCTGAATTAGCTGGTGGCACTCTGCAGCCTTTGTGCCTTGCTCCTATGTCCACCCTTTGAAGGGTGGGCTTAGCCGCACTTCGGGGTCCGCCGCGGCGTCTGCTTCACACCTCGGATCTTGTCTGGAGGTGCTGGCAGGCCTATCACGGAAAAGAGGACCGCAGGGGCAGGGATGGGGGCGGGTGATCTGTCCGTGCACTCCGCGGCTCCGCTCGCATGGCCATCCATGAAGGTGAGGACCTGACGAATGGAGGGACGTCTGGAGCGGTTCTGACTCAGAGGCAGTCGTTGGGCCCGCCCGTCCTACGAGATGGGTTGCGATATTTTCATGTGTTGTGTCGCTCACGATTCTGTTCATCGGACGGGGCTAGGATGAGGATAGAATCCAAATCCGTTCCAGAGCGTACCGGAACGCTCTCAGAGCGTTCCGGGATGCTCTGAGAAGGCCGCGGCGCCCGATATATCCCCCAGAGTTGCCGGTTCTCAGAGACTCGATATATCCTCACCCGAATTTCTACTCGTCCTGGCCCCGTCTTAGCTAGCACGACCACCGATCCGATCATGACATATCACATGCAGCATCACTCGAAGCCGGTCGAATCCTCTGGTGCTCAGCAGTCCCTCGTCTTCCCCCCTCCTCTTCGACTCTTCGAGGGGGTCGTGGGAGGGTCGGGGTACATCTCCATGGGTAGATGTCTCGCCCCCAACTCGGGCATGCTTGGAGCTTACCTTGCGCGATGTCTTCTGTGTCCACGTGCAGCACAGGAAGTGCGTAGAGGGAAGGCGTCATCGTTGCAGCACGACCCGCGAGGAGGGCGGAGGATCAGCAGGATGGCGAGAGGAGGAGGAAGACGAGGATGACGAGGGAGGAGGAGGGAGGAGGAGGGAGGAGGACTCCCTCCTCCTCCCACTCTCCCTCCTCTCCATTCTTCTCCCTCTCTGTTTCGTGGGACGCCTCGGCGAGCCATCGCTAGAGCCTGAACCTCCAGTTTTCTCGTCATCTCCCCTTCAGATCTCGCTCTCCTCCTTCCCGCTGATTCTCCGCCCTCCCCTTCCTTCCCCCCCCCTCTCCCTTCCTCTCCACCTGTCCTCCTCGTCTCTCATCACTCTTGCTCCCCCTCCCACCCCCGCAACCCGAAAGCCGCTCGTCCGCGTGTCGTCCTCATCCTCGCATGCGCCGCTCGTCGTCGCCGTTCTGTCGGTGGCTGCCTCTTTTCTCTCTGCCTGGAGCTCGCGCCGCTTCGGGGCGCTGGCGAGGCAGACCTAGAATCCCTGACGTCCGCGGATGTGTTTTTTTGCCAGCCACGGCCTGCAGTGGTCCGGAGGAGGAGGAGGAGGAGGAGGAGGAGGAGGGGGAGGAAGAAGAGAAAGGAGGAGGAGGATAATAAGTAGGAGGAATATTAACCAGATAAGGGAGACGAGCAGGAGGAGGAGGAGGAGGAGGAGGAGGAGGAGGAGGAGGAGGAGGAGAAGGAAGAGGAGGAGGAGGAGGAGGAGGAGGAGGAGGAGGACAATCAGGAGGAGGAGGAGGAGGAGGAGGAGGAGGAGGACAATGAGCAGGAGGAGGAGGAGGAGCAGGAGCAGGCGCAGGAGGGGCAGGAGGAAGAGGAGGAGGAGGAGGAGGAGCAGCAGGAGGAGGAGGAAGAGGAGGAGGAGGAGGAGCAGGAGCAGGAGCAGGAGAAGCAGGAGGAGGAGGAGGAGGAGCAGCTGGAGGAGGAGGAGGAAGAGGAAGAGAGGAGGAGGAGAAGGTGTATGAGGAGGAAAGGAGGACGAGAAAGAAAAAGGAGGAGGAGGAGAATGAGGAGGAGGACGAGGCGGAGTTGGAGGAGGAGTTGGTGGATGAAGAGGAGGAGGAGGAGGAGGAGGAGGAGGAGGAGAAGGAGAAGGAGAAGGAGGAGGAGAAGGATGAGGAGGAGGGGGAGCAGGAGTAGCAGGAGCGCATCTCTCTTCAACGCCCCACCCTTCGAACCCCGAAGGCCGCCACCCGCAGCCACAGGGCGCCCGCAGTCGGTGGGCGCCCCTTCCCGCGGCGGCCATGAGCGGCGGGCCGCCGGGCGGCAGCGGCGGGGGCGACCGGCGCGTGGCGAGATCCCTGGATGGGGGCGCGGGGGCTCCTCTCGGAGGAGGGGGGGGAGGAGAGGGACGGAGGGACAGAAGGACGGAGGGGCAGGAGAGGAGGAGGAGGAGAGGAGGAGGAGGAGGAGGAGGAGGAGGGGAGGAGGAGGAGGAAGAGGAGGAGGAGGAGGAGGAGAGGAGGAGGATGAACGACTCTAGAGCTACCAGCGCCCAGCACAGGAGGAGGTGGAGGAGGAGGCGCGAGGTGAGCAGGACGAGCATGAGGAGGAGGAGGGAGGAGGAGGAGGAGGAGGAGGAGGAGGGGAGGAGGAGGAGAAAGAGAGGCAGAGGAGAAGGAGGAGGAGGAGGTGAAGGAGGAAGAGGAGGAGAAGGAGGAGGAGAAGGAAGTGAAGGAGGAGGAGGAAGAGCAGGAGGAGGTGAAGGAGGAGGCGCGAGGTGAGCCGATGGGCAGGACGAGCAGGAGGATAAGCAGGGTAGTAGGAGTAGGAGGAGGAGGAGGAGGAGGAGGAGGAGGAGGAGGAGGAGGAGGAGCAGGAGGAGCAGGAGGAGCAGGAGGAGAGGAGGAGGACGAGGAGGAGGAGGAGGATCAGCAGGAGGAGGAGGATGAGGAGGAGGAGCGACGATAAGAAGCATGGGAGAGATAATCGCTCTTCACTTAGCGGTACTCCTGGAACATTCGTTGTCGCCCATTGTTTATTGGTGTGTTCTAAGCCGCTTCGAGCGACAAATTGTTATGGCCCGGTTCCTTATGTTGCTATCGGGCAGAAGAGCTGATATTGCAGCTGATGCGGCTCTCTACTTGTTTCTCCTTCTCTGGACTCTCTACTTGTTTCTCCTTCTCTTGCTTTCATGATCCCAAAAGGGCCCTCTGGGTTTCCAAGAGGGCCCGAAGAGGCGCCCAAGGGGCCCCAAGAAAGCTCCCAAGAGGCTTCCAAAGACTCCCAAGCGGTCTCAAAGAGGCCCTCAAGAGGCCTCCAGGGCCTCTCCCCCCCCGACCGAGAGGCAGCCAAGACGCTCCAAGAGGCTCCCGGGACTGCCAAGAGACGCCCAAGACGCCCGAAGGTGCCTCCAGGAAGCGACCAAGAGGGGCCCCAGAGTGCCACAAGAGGCGATTTTGACGGTCCCACAGGAAGGGGCTAAAATCCCGCCAGCCATTCAGAGCGTGAGCGATTTTCAAAACCCCCCTCTTCCAACCTCCTTCTTCCTCTTTGGTCCCCTCCCCCCTGGACCTGGACGGGGTTTCTCGCGAGCGGTCAGAGCGTCCAATATGGCCCAAGATTGCTCCGAGAAGGCCCCAAAGAGCTAAAGATGGCCTCCAAGATCGTTGAAGATAGCCCAACATGGCCAAGTATAGCTTGCAACAGACCTCCAAGAGGCTTCAAGATCCCTCCAAGACGGCTCTAAGTGGCCAAAAGGCGTCCCAAGGACGCCCTGGAGAAACCAACAACCGTCCAAAACCTAATAAGACATCAAATGTTTGTTTGCCTTCTCGCCTTCTAGCTTCCGATGGGCTTCTGAAGCCTCGAGATGGCTCCAGGATGGACCAGCTCCCACCCGCTGCACCCGCGCGGGGGCTCCAACATGCGGGGGACAAGATGGAAACACCATGATAAAACACTATGATACAGGGCACCCAACAACAGCAACACGCGCGGCTGCTCTGCTCTGCTGCTCTGCTCCGCCTCTCCGCCTCCCGCCAGCTCCTCTGGAGTGCCTCCGAGGCCAGCCAGGTGCAAGCAGCACCAGACGGCCACGGCCTCTTGTGAGGCCTGAGGGGCATCACCCCCTGCCCAGGGATTGATATAAATTGCGACGGTCTTCATACACAGGTATGAGAGGCTGCACGGTGCGTGCTACCCCCACCTCGGATCGTGAACGAACGAGACGATTGTGTGAGGTAGTGTCTAGAGCCAGGCCGACGGCTTGGCGCGAGTGGCAGGTCAGACCGAGACCACACGCAAGGCCGAGTCTTCTTCTTCTTCTTCCTCCTCCTCCTCCGTTGCCATTTTGGCTCAAGATCGGGACAGGCCCGTTTTGAGTGAGGCAGCCCTCCTTGAGGGCTATCCAGCTTTCAGCAGCTGGCGGACAACCTCCCATCCCTCCTGTCATGGCCGATGGCGCCCCTCTCGCGTCCCAGGAGCTCCGCGAGCTCGCCGAGGCTGTCGACTCCGCGCCGACCTTCCCAAGTCAAGAGAACCCTCCTCGTGCTGCTGCGGGTAAAGGGCATGGTGCTCTCCGCTCTGGTGCTCGCAAGCGTCTCGCTGCCGATGTTCCTGTCGGCCCTGGGTCGGACGGGCCTGCAAACATGGACGACGACGATTTCACCTCAGATGAATACCTCAGGCAGGCGTGCCGCGAGGAGTTCCAGCACATGCGTCGCACCATCACCGCCGAGGTCAGCAGCAGCGTGTCCAAGACGGTCGGCGAGAACCATACCACCCTCTTCACCATGCTCTCTGCCATGCAGGCTGAGGTCGCCAAGCAGGCTACAGCCGTCGAGCAGCAGGTGCAGTCCGCGCTGGCCCCTCGGCTAGATGCCGTCAGCCGTCGCTTCCAGGCGCAGATCGACGATCACGTTGCGCAGCTCCTCGCCGCCCAGACCAGGCTCGATCGCCACGACTCGGATATCGAGTCCCTGCGGGACCAGATCGCCGAGCTCCGCAAGCAGCTCGCCCTTGCCGCTGCCGCCCCTTCGTCTTTCGAACGTGCTGAAGGCT